GCGCGCGCGCAATACGGCCCGGGTATCAGTGCGCCGCGCGTAATATTTACGAACCGTTTGGTTTATTGATTTAAAACGGTAAACGACCGTTTTTTGTTTTTTTGTTTGTTTTTTTTCGGACCGCGCGTAACCGCGTTTCGGGGATGCAAAAGGTCGGCGGGGGGGGGCGATATTATGCGCGCGGCGCGCGAGCGAAATTCGACGACAGAGTTCTGTACACGGTAAACGACCCGCGGGACCGCGCGCGGGCGGCACGTGCGTAATAACGTGCGGAGGCGAATTATCATTTATTATACGGGCGCGCGCGCGCGTTTCGATTCCGCACAGACGCGGACGCGCAGAAACGAATTCGCGATAAACGTGTCGCGTAACGCGTACGCGTTATAACGGTGCGCCGGCCGGGCGGACCGGGACATTGTCACGTTGTGTACGCGCGCGGTCCGGGGTCGCGCGTCACGGGCGTTTCGTTGGCCGAAACCGCCTCCGCGGCGCTGCCACCGCGGCAATACGCGATGACGTTATAACAGTGCCGCGCGCCGAATCTCCCGCCGCGGTGACGTCTCGGGGCTGCGCGCGCCAGTCCTTTCGCCGCTCCTCGAGTCCGGGACGGTCGCGACGGAACAACGGGCGGGGTAACGAAACGGCGCCCGAAACACCCGGCTCGCGCATGTTTAACGTTTGTCGCGGCGTTCGAAATACAAACGTAACCGCCGGGCTGACCGGCACGGTCGCGCCGACAAGTCGTACGAGACCCGCGTCACGGATTAATGCCCCTGCCCCGCGCAGCGAAACGGACGGCCGGGCGGCCGTGAACAACTCCCCGCGATGAAGCTGGACGATGAAACTTCAGCGTGTTACGCGTTTTCGCCGAAAACGTAACCGTTCTCTATTTCCGCCCCGGCAGCCCCGAATCCTGAAGGTCGGCCGCCGAAGTCGACGGCTGTATCGTAAACCGTTATTATTGCGGCGCCGTATTACGGCGAAATGATAGCGACAACGAGCGTTTCCGCGACAACACACAGATTGTTTAAAAAAGATTTCGTGAAATAACAATAAAACTTCGATAATAACGACGAAAAAAAAAAAAAAAAAATAATAATAATAAACGAAAACGGTTGCCGACGACAGCCTTAGTTTTCAATATTTTTCGACCCAAACCACCCGGTTGTTCCTGGTTATCTCGACCGTTGATGCGTATTTCAGAAAAAAACGACCTCGCCAAAGTGCCGCCCAGAGGTGGTTATACTTGATAATCGGAGTACGCTTTCTCTACGACTCCCGGTGGAAAAAGTGTCCGTTTTTAATTAATATCCGCTGTAATACAACAGGCGATTGTACAGTTATATCTTTTACACGAAATTCTCCGGTCACCGCGTTTGTGGTTGGACTCCTCCGAAACGGTTTAGACCGACATTTTTCCATGACACTTTCTGCGCACATTCGGTAGGTCTGAGAATAGGCCGTAGAGTATTTTACGCCCTCCCACCCTCATCCGCTAGTTGTTAATCGGACTTTCAGTATTTTCGCTTATATAACGTACACGAGCAACGCCAAATGATTTGGCTTGTAATATAACAAATACGATAATTGTTTTTCCGTCGATTTACGTTACCCCGGTGACAGGGACGGAAAACGAAAAAAAAAATGGCCATTGATCACTACTAGAAACTGACGAGTGAACCACGTGATCATCCGAAACCGGTCCGGCCGTTCTTAAAAGTTATTCGCAAACGGCGTAACGAACCCGACTCCGTTCCGTTTGTGCAAGACTTTCGTTCGTTCGGCGGTCGCCACGGCGAAGGAAACAATTGTAATTGTCGTTGTAGCCGTTGTTCGCGCCGTTCGAATTTCGCAACAGAACACGTCTGGGGCGGGCCGAAGGAGAGCGCTGTCCGCCGGCTGCCGATTCGTTTTCGTTCCATTCGAACGCGGCCAAAACCGAAACCGAATACGGGTAAGACGATAGCGACGCGAATCGGCGCGCGGGACACCTAAGATTTGGGGTTGCCCCCGGGTCGGCCCCGGACGGACGTCGCGCGCGAACGCAACCCCGCGGGCGCGTCCGTTTCTGGGTCATTTGTCTTTCTCGTAGGAAAGACCCGATTCGATGCAAGACGCTGGTACTCGTCTAGTGTTCCGGCCGTCCGACCGCCATTCAGCAGGCTCGCGCAAACTGGTCGGCTGTGCCGCGTCAAATTCGGTGTCGGGGACTATGCGTTCCGTTAACATGTCCGCGATACTTTGCGCCTGTTCGCGCCGCTGCCTTTGAGGGAGTGTAGCCCGCGAGAATCGCTCGAGAGCCACGAGTGACCGGGAAGATGCCAGCACCCCACGGGCCCCGGATCCCCGAGGGGCGCACGGGGCCTCAGTCAGTTGAGCGCGGGACACCTGGGCGTTTCGAACAGCAACCGTTTTCGAACTGGCACCGTCGCGCAGCTCCACCGCTCACGGGCGTTCGCGATCGGGGTTTTTTTTTCAGCGGCCGGTGAAAATCCTGCCGCCCCCCCTCCCGACACGTTCGAAATGACGCCCGCCGGCCGCGGCGTATACGCGGCCCGCGACTGACCATGTCATCCGTTCCGGACGAACGGTATCGCCGGCGCTCCTCAACTCTCGCGCGTTTTATACGCGGCGGGGATAATGGGTAGGGGCAAACGGCCGATTTCTCTACACGCACGCACACACACACACACACACACACAGTCACGGCGCGCCCTCTCCGGCGTTCTTTTTGGGCGATCGCGTTTTCGCGGCTTATGTGCGCGGCGAACCGCAGCTGGGGAAAAAAATAATAAAATGCATAAAGGGAAAAAATAAAAAAAAAAAAAAAATATATACGGGGCGTGCGCGCGCGTAAACAACAGCCGCACGCGAGGCGATAACGATTCGCGTCGAATGTATACGTGTGTAATATAATAAAAATGGTTTATATCAGGGGCGGCCAGGCTTTTTTACCGTAGAGCATTACGGAGAGTGTGCCTTTCCGTCGATGACCGATTCCCATAATTGTAACAATAGTTGTATTTTTACTTCTTAGCGTTGACGTAAACACGGTGGCGGGGCGGGGGGAGGTGAGGGGACACGGGGGACGGACCGGTCCCGCGACTTTTTTTTCCCTTTGACGGTTTGTTTAAAATCAATAGTCTGTACAGTGTTTTTACCGGCGGTGGAAAAACTGATAATTTTCTGTTATCAGCGTACCTATGGAAATGGTTTTATTTCACTTTTCAATTTATAATTGAACCGACAGCTAACGTGCTTATCAGTTTGCTTGGTCAATTTTTTATTTTGTTATTCCATCCGTATCGCCAAGGTGTGAATAAGTGAATAAACAAAAATAAACAAATAAACAGTTAGAAATTCATACCGAAAATACCTAAAAAAAAAAAAAAATCCTATTTATCCCCTTAGGGGTTACATTTTCCAATTATTTACTATCATATCTTTTAGATTGGAGTGTTGGACCGAATCACACGCATTGAACATATTATCTTATCAAAATCGGTGGAGAAGTTTCAGAGTGCACGGAAATAAAATAAAAACGTACACATGCATCATCATGAGGACATCATTTTTAGAAAAATGAATGGTAAGTTATGTACTTAAATATAATAAATAATAATTAATTTTTATTCGTTTATTTATTTTTTGTAATTTATCATTGAAAATCGGCCGTTTCAGTGCCCCACCTTGTAGCTAGGTAATATAATGAATATACAATTTTGTACCTATATAAACTGTACAGGTGTTTTTGTTTCGTTGTTATTTTTGTTCGATACGGTAGTCTTTTTGCATTATAAAAAAAAAAAAATGAATTTCCCTTCTCAATGAAAATGGTTTTTTTTCTTACTCACTAATCACATTTTTGTTAAAACTCTAATTCAATATTATTAATTGAATACACCAGGAATTAAATTGTTAGCGTAAACACTATTGCATTGTATTACTCGATAAATCGACAGCAAATGACTTCATGTGCGTTTGACAAACGCAACGAGAGTGTCTACTAAAAAAGGGCCTCTAAACATAGTTTTGACTTCTGCCTGTCTTACGTGCAGTAATCTATTAACAAACACATTTCGCACTTCAAACGATTGCGATTTTCCGGTTGAGTTTAGGGCGTCAGGAAGTATTAACACAATTTACACATATTTTATAAAGATTAGTATTTACGATGCCTCGGCCGAATGATTTTTGAAATTATTTGAATTTGTCAACACGTTATCAATGGTGAAAATTACGAGAAATTAAGTTAAATCGACACACGCATTTTTTTCATGATACAAACGAAAATAATACAAAACAAACAAAATCATTCGGCCGCGTCATAGTAAACACTTTTAGTTTTATAAAATGTACAATGAGGTACCTTTGCTGTTGAAAATTCACGCAGAGCATGTTCCATATTTAAATTATGGGTGACGTAAAAAAAGGAATCTGCAATTTTGAAACCTTTCAATGTGCAATCGATCTTTCACGTGGTAGGGGTGCCAGATAACAAAACTATTATACTCTAAGTGGACCGAACCTGCGCACACGATATTCTATAGTGGCCCGAAAGTGTCCCGAGATAGAGAAAAAGAAGTGAACGAGAACAGTTTAATAAATCCCAGACACTTAAGATTAAGGACCTTGGGAACAACAATCATATTTAAACGACGATCAAAAGATCACGGAGGAGAGTAATTAAATACCGAGGCCTTTGTAACGGAAAATACGCTTAACAGGAAACACCAGAACGCTGACATTAAAAATATACGGGAACTTGACTTATTTTGGGAGGGTCACGACACGACATTTGCCATGGTTAAGTGACGGCCTTAGCTGCCGGACTCGCGAACAGAAGTTATTCGGTTCAGGGTAAAGTACTGATAAATGTTAAACAATAATTGTATTATGCACGCGTATTTGTAATTTATTATTAATTATTTTATTATATATATATATATATATATTAAAATACGCGTGCTGTATAGTTGCGGCACGTTCGGGACAGCAGCTCAGCGGAACAGGTCGGCGGTGTTGAAGACGTGAAAGTGATGCAGCACAAGAACGGGCGGGATAACGACGCTGCCGTCCGCCGCTGTTCGGAGTTTTGAATACATCTTGACGGCGCTCCGGTGACGTGGCAGGGCCACGGTCAACAGCGAACAGTCGACGGCCACCCGGCTCCGCCGGTCGACGAGCCCGTGCAAGTGGCACGCGTTCGTGTCGCCGTCGTCGTAGTGCACCGTGCCGGCGGTGAACGTGTAGCCGTTACGTACCGCGGTGACCGTGAACGCGGACAGTTCTTCCACCGGCCGGTACACGTGTGACGTCTCGGATCCGTAGTACTGGCCGTCCAAGTACACCGAACGGACGGCCGTCAAGCGGGTGATCATCTGTCTGGCGGCCAAGATCGTGGGCGTGACCGCTGGCGACGACCGAAACTGTTGACGCACTCTTCGAAAGAACAGTTGCTTCATGGCCCTTTCGGACGGGCCCACCCTTTCGGCCAGACAGATTTGGACGTTGGCGGACACCATGGCGTCCCTTTCGTCCTGGTCTTGGTTCCGGGCGAACAAAGGTCGCACGTCCTCGGATAGCGATAGCAGAACGTTCTCGCATATCGGCCAATCGTTGTTTCTTCGTCCGTTGTTGTTATCGCCACCTTGCAATTCTGACATCCGACGATCCATAGTACCTGCGAACAAATAACAAACGCAAACATTTTTTTTTTTTTTTTTTTTCCTGTAAATTGTGGCATTGTAACGCAATTTTTTTTTTATAACCGTAAAAACTTATGATAAATTTCGTGGGTATCGAATCTCCGAGCCCAAAACAACTCTGTATACCATCATTGACGTGTAGGCGTGTGCAAATTTTGGAGCATTTTCACTAACGCTATAAGTGTTATATTACTATACACAATAACTGTCGTCCCTTACGTTCATGTCGGTGGTCTGTAGCAGTGTTCAAAGGTCAAAAAAACAACCCCCCCCTACCTGACGCAACAAAACACCGACATTTTAATCGGACTTTTACTACTCCGATTCGCCTGTATAAAACAATTCTAATAATTCCCCGAGTTTGAGCTGATTTTCGGTCCCGCACAAGGTAGGAGCCCGATTCAGTGACGTACTTAGTCCTTACTCACGGGGGTGAGGTTGAAATATTTTATTTTGTTACGTGTCCTTTAAAATTTCTTAAACGTAACGTCACGGCTACAACAGTTTGTATTAGTATAGAAACGGGAATTGGGCTCTTATATATCATTTGTAAGATGTATAACATTTTAATATGTAAAAATAAAATGAGCAATTTTTAGAAATCCTGATCCGGTTTGACCATAGAGACAACAAAAATATTTTAATATTTATGGATTTGCCCATGTTTTCAAATTAACTGTCCTACGAAAAAAAAAAAAAAAAAAAAATTATAAAAATACTAAAAACGAATAGCAATACACAAATAAAATGTTGAGGTCCGCGAGGGGGGGGGGGGGATGCCCTCTCGCCTTCCATCCAAAGGTACGCTGCCGGTCCGATTATTTAACAAAAGGAACAATAAATAATTATAATTGTAAACCATTTAAAATTTATTGAAAAATCCACGTTATTGCACATTTCTTCCCCTCAACATATTTTTAATTTTTTGCCAATTTTGTATACTCTTGCACATTTGCGTATTTATTGCAGACCATAATTAAATATTTATTACACAATTCAATGAAAACATTATGTTCCACAACGATAAAAATGTATCGGTCGGAACGACAACGTTCCGGTTTAATTCCAGACAGCACTATGTATAAGTAATCTAGTAATCTAATCAATAAACGATGCGACCGATGAACGGACGGGTATGGAATAAAAAAAAAAAAAAAAACAAAAAAACTATTCCGTATAGTTGGCCACAGAATACTTGACATCGTGCGTGCTGCTTTGATAAATATCATTTTATTTTTTTTTTTATACTCCAACCATTCCGGTTGATTTTGAACGGTTTCCATTGTGGGAGACAATCACCGTTAATAGAATTTAGTGCAATTCAGTTTAATAACAACAATACTAATCAATAAAACACGTTTTGTTATAAATTTCGCGCGTTATTCAATTTTATTTAAAAATTCTTTTTTCGTACAATTTGTAATTTTTAAAACTGTTTACCGGTGCATATTGCACGGCATAATTTAATAACTCTAAACTGTCTATAAACCCACGCTCGGAAAAGGCATATAGCTTATGGCCGCCGTAATAGTTACACACCTCGGAAATTCCCCGATCGATCTATTTCAATAATATCCGCCAGCTATTATTAAGTCCTGCGCCCGGGCGGCTTCGCGCGTAAAACGTACTCGTAGGATTCTGTCGCACATTCTCGTCGGTTCGCCGGCAAAACTATAAGCCATGGCTTTTAACTTTTTAACCGGCGGCCGTCCAGTTTCGCGCAGTGTCTGCCGGCACGAAGGGTACATCGGCCGAAACTGTGTAGGCGGTGAAAGGGTTTTTTCGCAGCAGCAGCAGCAGCAGCAGCAGCAGCAGTCGCACGGGAAGTTTAGCACACCGTTAAGCCCCGCGTCCGGAGGGTTCGTTCCTCGAGGGACCCATTTATAATCGATTAAAACTTTCGTAAGTACCGTAACAACGTTCCCAATTGATTTTCGTTATCGAATCAACACAGTTCGCAATAACAATAATAATAACGATAATAACGTATTAAAATATAATGTCTAATAAAATATAGTGTCTGTAAGTATAATACCATACGTGCGCATAGGTACACGTCGAGGATCTATATACGTATACACGGATGAAGCGTGCGGTGTTCGTCAACTTCTATGCGCGCGTCGTTATTTATCCCCGGTTCCTCGTCTGGAGAGAAAAACAAAAAAAAACAAAAAAAATACGCGACCACATGGTGGTTATATTATTGCTCGACAATTGTTTTCAAATTTTTCGGCACGCGTCGAGCGGTTAAAATGGGAAGAACTCCGAAGGAGGACTGTAATATTTATCGAAAATCGACAGGCGAGTTCCCCGGTACCGGACACCGGCACGTTCCCGATTTTCACCGCGGAGAAATACATCGTAAACAATAATGCGGAAAAAAATGTCGCTTAAAAAACAAAACAATAACGACAGGATTAATTTTATACAACCCTAATGGTATTATAGATTTTTTTTTTTAGGTGATATATATTTTCTCGAGATACTATTCCGTTTTAGAGACGTTTTGACCGGGGTTTTGTTTTGTTTTTGTTTTGTTTTTTTTTTTTATTTTGTTTTTTTTTTCATAGCCGATTCGTATCGCGCGCGTCTCGGACTTTTTTTCTTCAGACACCATAATAACACCGGGTATAAAGGTTTCTATGAATATTATAACACGACGCTTTCGGACCGCCGTGTAACGAAAATACCCGCATAATGCTCACGGTATCAGGCCGAACGCATAATAATATTATAATAATAACCATACACGTTATACACGACGACGGGATGAATAAATTATTACAACGTTCCGTGCGCCGCCGCGGAGCTCGCCCGAGTCGTTAACATTGTATGGGTACCGCCCTGTGTCTAGGAGGAAAACTATAGACGTCTTAATATTTATCTCGTTAACGAACTCGATCAGACGAGTTGCACGGGAATTCACGTAGCGCACGCACGCGGTGCCGGAAGTACCCGTACACGCGCACCGCGTTCTAAACCGCGTGCGTTCTAAACCGACCATTTTCCCGTACAAATATCCCGGACAACGTGACAACGATATGATGGGGGGGGGGAACCCGGAAAAATCCGAAAAATGCCCCGGCAAAATCTAGCGAATCCGGCCGAACGTATCGGTATCGGTTTTTTTTGTTTTTTCGTTTTTCGGAATCGGACAACGCGCTCTGGTGCGACTCACAAAGATAACGCCGGCACGTTTGTTTGTGGACTACCGAAGCTCATGGGCCCTGGCGAAATCCAAAAATATTGATACTAGTTGTATATTGCCTTGTGTCATAATGTGCTGGTGCCAACATGACGGACATATGTTAGGTACACGGGTAATTATAATATTACGTATAAATTGTCCGTGGTTATTTTTTGTTTAGATTCTGAGTGGATCGAAGAAGCTTATGGTTTTGACCGGTGATGTTTGTTTTTTTTTTTTCTGTGGACAACTTTTCTACCGGCAATTTCGCTCCCATTTACAACGGCAGCTCTTTTTCCGAAAAGAAATCTTTTTGATTTTTTCAAAGAATGGAAAAAACCGGGAGAATATATATATGGTCGATAACGCCACACTATCAACTGAACACCACTCAGAATCGTTTTTTCGTTAGCAACGGTTGATCATTGCTTACTAAAGCCCCGTCTTTATCCTACCTTCCCAACTTTCCACCTACAACAGTGGCTGCGCCCGTCCCCATTATCCTAGGACAGTTTTTTTACAAATTATTATCAACATCAACACACAGTTCACAAGTCATAAAGCGAACATTTCATTCAGATTTAATGCAATACAAAGGGGCTCGAGCATGGCGATATTACGTTTTTTCTCTACACAAACTCGCTTTACAGGAAATAATGAACATATTCTGAAAAAAATACCTATGCCGGCCTATACATGAACATTATCAACCGGCTTCGTTAACGTTAATTGTTCGGATCATATTTCAGTATTACTTGCCCTTAGCTCACCTCACTCGCCGCAATTCGTATTGCACGGTAGTTACGTAAATAAAACATTAAACATTACAATACGGAAGTGGTAAAAATATCAAAACTTTTTTTTTTATTTAGAATAGAAAGAATATTTACGAAACGATTTTTTAAAACACGCGAAAAGACGAATATATTGCAAGCAGCGCCTTTTCGTTGAGAGGCATATCGTCCTAAAAACTGCTCAACAAAAACTAATGTAAAACTGCGTATGACCGATTACGTTTATTGAAGAATTTATTTTTGATAAAACTAATTCGAGTTTTTGAAATTTCATTAAGAAAACCACAGTGACTAAAACTTTAAATATATAAAGGGGAATTGTATGTATTTTAAATAACGCAGGGGGGACTTTGTGCACCCCACATTAACCGCTGTGTCACTCCACGAAGGTACGGTGTGATAATTTTACAGTATTTTAATTATTGTACGTAATTCTTCATGCTAGCGCCAACCCTCGTCTATTAGCGACGGGAGAAATCCGAAATCCGAACGTTTTATTTAAAATCGGCATTTTGGATTTTGAAGTTTCGAGTTTTTGAATTCCTTCACGCGTTTTTCGTACAATTGAAAAACCTAATCGTAATCACGATATTGTACATTTAAATATCCGAAATTGGAATTGTCGCGTTCGAAAGTCCGAAATCCGTAATTCCGTGTTTTAAAATCCGGGCGCTCGGGATTATCTGGATTTATGTCGTGTCATGTCACTGTACCTAGACATGTGTACAGACGAACGTTTAGTGACACAGTATAATATGATATCATATAATGACGCAGTATTAAAGGTTTAGTGCAAAACATTTAGCCGGTAACGGCAGTATATAGAGCGCTGTTATTAATAACGTTTCAATTCGAACGGGTTGGCGACATTGAATCATTAAGAACAACGGATGATCAATACGTTTGACTAAGTTTTTTTTTTTTTTTTTTCGTATCAAAATAAATCGTCGTCGGTATAAAAATAGCGACTCTATACGCGTTGTCGACGT